AATTCTTTCTAACGTCTCTGGGACTCATTTGAGTACTAAGTTTCCACCTGTGTCCCCTTGTTTGTGTTCCACCCATGCTAAAGAGTTTGTCTTTGTCGAACCTTTCAATTCCCCCTGAGAATTTTGTAGGTGGTTATCATGTCTCCCCTTACTCTTCTGTTTTCCTGGGATGTGAGGTTCAGCTTCTTTAACCTTTCGTCGAAACTCATTTCTCTCAGTTCCGGGACGAGCCTGGTGGCATACCGCTGAATCTTCTCTAACTTTGTCTTGTGTTTAACTAGGTATGGACTCCAGGCTGGAGCTGCATACTTTAGAATTGGTCTTACATAAGTGGTATACAGGGTCCTGAACGATTCCTTACACAAGTTTCTAAAGGCAGTTCTTATGTTGGCCAGTCTAGCATATGCCGCTGATGATATTCTTTTGATGTGGGCCTCTGGGGACAGGTTCGGTGTGATATCAACCCCCAGATCTTTCTATTTGACTCTTGCAGGATTTCACCTCCCAGATGATACCTTGTGTTCAGCCTCCTGCTCCCTTCGACTAATTTCATTACCTTACACTTTCCTGAGTTGAACTTTAGCAGCCATTTTCTAGACCATTCCTCCAGTTTGTCCAGGTCATCCTGTAGTCTCTGTCTATCTTCATCCGTCTTGATTCTTTTCATAATTTTTGCATCATCAGCAAACATTGAGAGGAACGAGTCTATACCCTCCGGAAGATCGTTTACATATATTAGAAACAGGATGGGTCCAAGTACTGAGCCCTGTGGGACTCCGCTGGTGACATCTCGCCACTCTGATGTCTCCTCCCCTCTCACTGTTACTCGCTGTTTCATGTTGCTTAAGTATTCCCTTATCCACTGGAGCACCTTCCCTTTTACTCCTGCCTGTTGCTCTAACTTTTTTAACAGCCTTCTATGGGGTATTGTATCAAAGGCTTTCTGGCAGTTCAGGAAAATGCAGTCGGCCCTCCCTTCTCTTTCCTGCCTAATTTTTGTTGCCTGGTCATAGAATTCTATTAAACCTGTGAGGCACGATTTACCATCTCTGATCCCATGTTGGTGGTGCGTTACAAAGTTATTTCCCTCCAGGTGCTCTACGAGCCTTTTCCTCACGATTTTCTCCATCACCTTGTATGGTATACAAGTTAGGGAAACTGGCTTGTAGTTCAGTGCCTCTTGCCTGTCACCCTTCTTATATATTGGGGCTACGTTAGCTGTCTTCCAACTTTATGGTAAGTCTCCTGTTTCCAGTGACCTGTTATACACCATAGAGAGTGGCACACTTAATGCTTCTGCACCTTTCTTTAGTATCCATGGTGAGATTCTGTCAGGCCCAACAGCCTTTGTCACAGCCAGCTCCAGCAGACACCTTTTGACCTCATCACTTGTGAGGTCAAATTCCACCAAGGTGGCTTGGTTTGCCACCTCCTCATTTAGTGCAGGAGCTTTTCCTTGTTCTATTGTGAAGACCTCCTGGAATCTCTTGTTGAGTTCTTCACCACACCTCATTCTCTGTCATTTTGTTCCTCTGCTGTATGTGGCTGTGGAGCAGTTTTAGTTAGGTCTCTTTACTCACAATGTCAATTTCATTGTCTCAGTTTCATCACTTTTTAGGCTCTCTGGTATCTTCACTAATCTCCATGTTTGAAACTCGCCTTACATGATTAAGAGTCTTCTATTGAGCCATTCCTGCAGGCATAGTCTGGTTCTCTTACCTGATACCTGGTTGATGGGGTTCTGGGAGTTCTTCTACTCCCCAAGCCCGGCCCGAGGCCAGGCTTGACTTGTGAGAGTTTGGTCCACCAGGCTGTTGCTTGGAGCGGCCCGCAGGCCCACATACCCACCACAGCCCGGTTGGTCCGGCACTCCTTGGAGGAATAAATCTAGTTTCCTCTTGAAAATGTCCACGGTTGTTCCGGCAATATTTCTTATGCTTGCTGGGAGGACGTTGAACAACCGCGGACCTCTGATGTTTATACAGTGTTCTCTGATTGTGCCTATGGCACCTCTGCTCTTCATTGGTTCTATTCTACATTTTCTTCCATGTCGTTTACTCCAGTACGTTGTTATTTTACTGTGTAGATTTGGTACTTGGCCCTCCAGTATCTTCCAGGTGTATATTATTTGATATCTCTCTCGTCTTCTTTCTAGTGAGTACATTTGGAGGGCTTTGAGACGATCCCAATAATTTAGGTGCTTTATTGCGTCTATGCGTGCCGTATATGTTCTCTGTATTCCCTCTATTTCAGCAATCTCTCCTGCTCTGAAGGGGGAAGTGAGTACTGAGCAGTACTCAAGACGGGACAACACAAGTGCCTTGAAGAGTACAACCATTGTGATGGGATCCCTGGATTTGAAAGTTCTCGTAATCCATCCTATCATTTTTCTGGCTGTCGCAATATTTGCTTGGTTATGCTCCTTAAACGTTAGGTCGTCAGACATTATTATTCCCAAATCCTTTACATGCTGTTTTCCTACTATGGGTACATTTGATTGTGTTTTGTACTCTGTATTATGTTTAAGGTCCTCATTTTTACCGTACCTGAGTACCTGGAATTTATCACTGTTAAACATCATGTTATTTTCTGATGCCCAGTCGAAAACTTTATTAATATCAGCTTGAAGTTTTTCAATGTCCTCAGCCGAGGTAATTTTCATACTGATTTTTGTGTCATCTGCAAAGGATGATACGAAGCTGTGACTTGTATTTTTGTCTATATCTGATATGAGAATAAGGAAAAGCAGCGGTGCAAGGACTGTACCCTGAGGTACAGAGCTTTTCACTGCACTTGGACTAGATTTTATATGGTTGACAGTTACTCGCTGAGTCCTGTTTGACAGAAAACTGAGTATCCAGCGTCCTACTTTACCGGTTATTCCCATTGACTTCATTTTGTGTGCTATCACGCCATGGTCACATTTATCGAAAGCCTTTGCGAAGTCCGTGTATATCACATCAGCATTCTGTTTCTCTTCTAATGCCTCAGTGACTTTGTCGTAGTGCTCAAGTAGCTGTGAGAGGCACGATCTTCCCGCTCGAAATCCATGTTGGCCTGGGTTATGAAGGTCATTGGTCTCCATGAAATTGGTGACCTGACTCCTAATCACTCTCTCAAATACTTTTATGATGTGCGATGTTAGTGCAACTGGTCTATAATTTTTTGCCAATGCTTTGCTCCCTCCCTTGTGTAGAGGGGCTATGTCTGCTACTTTAAGTGCATCTGGTATCTCCCCCGTGTCCAAGCTCTTCCTCCACACTATACTGAGTGCCTGTGCTTCTTTGAGTTCTGTTTCCCATGGTATTCCCATTAGGAAGTTTCTCATCACGTCATATTTTCCTCTTCGATAATTTAGTGATTTCCCTTCCAATCCCTTCATTGGGTAGGTTATCCCTACCTCTATGAGATGCTCAAATGCCAATACACTTTGGTCACTCATTCCCATGTGGGTTTCAAATTTGACTTCCCTTATTTCTGACTCATTCAAAGTGAATATCAGGTTGAGTCTAGCTTGTTCGCCATTGCCTCTCATTATTGTTGGTCCCTTGACATGTTGGCTCAGAAAGTAGCTTGTTGCTACTTCCAAGGGATTAGATCACCATGTATCTACACCTCCACATGAGTCCCCATTCGTCCAGTCAATCTTTCCATAGTTGAAATCGCCCATGATTAAGAGTCTGAATCCATTCCAGCAGACAACCGAAGCTGCTCTCTCTATTATATTATTGGTTGCCATGTTGTTCCTATCAAACTCCTGTCTGGGTCTTCTGTCATATATTGAAGGGTTACATGACTGCTACTATTATCTTAGATTCACCTATTCGGCTCCTGTTATGTAGTCGTTAAATCCATCACAGCCTGGAATTTCCATCTCTTCAAAACTCCAGTACTTCCTTATCAGCAAGGCTACTCCTCCTCCTTCTCTCCCTTCCCTCTCCTTTCCTTACTGTATAGTTGTCCTTTGGAAACACAGTGTTTGTTATGACTCCTAACAATTTTGTTTCTGTGAGTCCTATTACGTCTGAGTTTTCTTCCTACGCCCATTCCACTAGTTCACTTCTTTTATTGGTGACCCCATCGATGTTTGAATACATAACTTTAAAGCTCATCTTCCTACATTCATTTTCACCCACCTTCCCCACTGGTGTAAGAAGCCGTTCCATGGGTAGGGCTACTTGGGTAGGCTTATCCTCCATTGCAACCAGGAGATCGGGGAGAGATGGGGTTGAGAATGGAGGGCTTAAAACTTGCCCAGGCCTGCTTGGGACAGGAAGAAGTCCTAGGGGTGGAGGGAGCAGGGAGTCCTGGGGTGAAGGAGCAGGGAGTCCTGGGGGTGAGGGAGCGTGCCCTCTCCTTGGGGAGAGGGCACGCCCTCCTGCGGTGTAATTGACAGGGGTTTGGGGGGAGATGAAGTGGGGGATGGAGGGGCTTAGGTCTCGCCTGGGCCTACTTGGGGTAGGAAGAAGTCCAGGGGCTAGGAAAGCAGGGGATACTTGGGGTAAGGGGAGAGGGAGGATTTGGGTTATATGATGGGCATTGTGCAGGGGCAAGGAAGGGTTCGTGCTGGGGGATAGGGGGGCCCTGTTTGTAGGAGAGTGACTGTCCTTAGAGCAGCTTATACAGACATAAACATGTATATTGCATCTAAGATATGTAGGCCTGGAATGAGAGGTGTGATATCAGAAAGGCTGTAATTCTTTTAACAGTGTGATGTTCATGTTTGTTGTCATTCCATAAAGAGCAAGAAGCTTAAAGAGTGCTTGCTTGTCTATTAGAAGCAAGCACTCCGCATATATAGGTGCAGTGTATCATGCCACTGTGGTGTTGGCTTGATGGTTGGTGCAGTGTGCTGGGTGTTCCGTCGTGGTCTGGTGGTTGGCAGTCATGATGGCTGGTGCAGTGTGCTGGGTGTTCCGTCGTGGTCTGGTGGTTGGCAGTCATGATGGTTGGTGCAGTGTGCTGGGTGTTCCGTCGTGGTCTGGTGGTTGGCAGTCATGATGGCTGGTGCAGTGTGCTGGGTGTTCCGTCGTGGTCTGGTGGATGGCAGAGTGTAAGGTGGTGGTAGTTGGCTACTGACGCCTGGCTTGGTGTGCTTGTTGCCTCGCCCAGGTCCAGTCTGCTGTTGTCGCCGTGTCTGTCCATTATTTGGGTGTTGTTTGTGAGTGTATCTATGGTGAAGGTGTGGTTATGTATAGAGACTATAAGTTTCTTAATTGGTCTTTGCTGCTTGTGCATTGTCAAGCGTATTGAAATGGATGGTGTTGTCTTGCCTATACATTGAATTTGTTGGGGCTGACAGTCCCTAAGTGGGCATGTGAAGGCATAGACAACATTCGTCTCATTCAAGGTATATTGTTTGGTGTCAGGAGAGTTATTCATGAGCAAGTTGACATTCTTTTTGCTCATATAGTATATTATTTGCTCAATCATCTGGCTGGTGTCAACCGGGGTCACACTGCTATCAGTAATGTTTTTCAGGTTTCCCGCTTCCGCCTTGTGAACCGTGGAGGAGTTCTTGTAGAATATTATAATAGTAGGGACCGATAATGAACTGTTCACTGTTGTAGCTGAAGTCGCATGGTGAGGAAATCAAGAAAAAGAAGTTGAGCCGCATGCGACTCACCTTCAGAGTAACAGAGAACATAATGAGGACATGATGAACACACCACACATCAGAAGATGAAGAAACGACGACGTTTCGGTTCGTCTTGAACCATTATTAAGTCGTGTGTATCAAGACACACTCGACTTGATAACGGTCCAGGAGGGACCGACACGTGGTCGTCTCCTCATCTTCTGGTGTGTGGTCTGGTCATCATATCTTCAGCCACGTTATAGTGACTCATCATCAACTAATGAATATGTGGACTGAAAGCAAAGTTAAACAAATGATTAATTATAAAATAAGATATTGAGAACTTACGAACTACATGGAAGAAAATAACATGAAAATGCTAAAAAAATAAAAAAAATATGCGATGAAACAAAAAATCTAAATAGGAGTTACGTAGTGAAGACACCAGCATTGGCTCCCGTCTCCAGCTTCACAATATACTCTCCACGGATCTCGACTCAGACCCAACTTCTCAGACTCCACCTCTAGCTCCTTGTATGCCAATACTAAACACTAACTTACGTTTTCCGCTCAATTCACCAATTCAGTGTGAAGCAGTTTAGAGTCCAACTGTATTAGGCTCAACCCCCAGGGGAGGGAGGGTGGTAATTATCAG